TATCTATCTATCTATCTATCTATCTATCTATCTATCTATCTATCTATCTACCCATCCATCCATCCTAACCAGTTATACATGATAGCAGAATGTACAACTATCCATCTATCTATCTATCTATCTATCTATCTATCTATCTATCTATCTATCTATCTATCCTAACCAGTTATACATGACAGCAGAATATTCTTCAATTCATTGTACACAAAAGGAACACAATTTTTCACTTCTCTGGTTAAACCCAAAGTAGGGTCACACCATTTGTGCAATCATACATGTACCTAGCATAATGATGTTCGTCTCATTCCACTATCTTTACTATCCCATGTCCCCCCCGCTCCTCAGTTTTATGGGGAACTTTGGCTGATCCAAAATTCCTCCACTCATCCCATGCCCTGCCACCCATTATGGATTAGCATCCACTTATCAGAAAACATTCGACCTTTGGTTTTTTTGGGATTGGCTTACTTTACTTAGCATGATATTCTTAACTTCATCCATTTACTGCAAATGCCATAATTTTATTCTTCTATTGCTAAAAAATATTTCATTATATATACATATATCAATCACAGTGTCTTCATCCATTCATCTCTTGAAGGGCATCTAGGTTGGTTCCACAGTTTGACTATTTTGAATTGTTCTGCTATAAACATTGATGGGGGAGTGTCATTACAGTACACTGTTTTTAAGTCCTCTGGGTATAGACCAAAGAGTGGGATAGCTGGGTCAAATTGTGGTTCTGGTCCAAGTTTTCTAAGGAATCTCCATATTGCTTTCCATATTGGCTGCACCAATTTGCAGTCCCACCGGCAATGTATATAAATTCAATTTCTTGGAATTTCGTTTTCTAGTAGCTCTAACAGACTTCTAGCTTCATAACATAATTAAACTTAATCATAACTTGATAGTGTTTTATATACTAAGTATCACTATCTCCAAATTTGGTTTGGTTGAAGTGTTCTTAGATGATTCATTAGTCCTTAATGTTTTGTGGGGGGGTATCGGGAATTGAATCCAGGGGCACTGAGCTACATCCCAGTTCTTTTTATTTTTTTTCAAATAGGGTCTTGCTAATTTGCTGAAGTTCTCACTAAATTGCTGAGACTGGCCTCAAATTTGTGATCTCTGGGATTACAGGTGCTTGCCACTGCATCCAGCTACTCCTTTATCTTTTTTTGGGTTCATCTCTGAGAATCTGATGAAAGATATGGAGTTCCCCTTCCCCCATGTTCTGCCCTCCCATAGAAATATGTGCATATACACAATTTTTAAAAGTTCATGGTTACACTGAAACAAACCCATGGAACTATGGTTAGAAATAACTACCATTGATGAATATTCCTAATTCTTTAAACCGACCTTTATAGAAACTTGCAAGTGTAATCATTTTTATTTAAAAACATGGCTCATCTATGCCTATTAAACCATATTCTAAATGTCATTTTACAGCTTTTTGATGACTGTGAATCATTACCAGCAATCACTGCAATGTGGCTAATTCAAGAAATAAAGAAATAGGGCAATGTCATTTAGGAGTTCTGTTAAAGTTACAGGCCTTGATTTATAAGGATAATTTTATACTTACTGATCCTGTAACCTTGGCTGTCTCCTCTCTCATGTATGTGTGTGTCAGTTCTTACAGACCTTTCTTCTAATTCTGTTCCAGTAATAAAGCAGAAAAACCAGCTTGTTAAGTAAAATTGTATCCCTATTGCTGTGAGCCAAGGGGCTCAGGATTGCCTAAGGGCAGTGGTGCTGTATATAAACAG